ATTATTTTTGCTCTTTCAGCGCATTAACAAAACCTTTTTGAAAATGAAAAACACCGCTCAAATTCTGTCAAAAATAAGTGCAAAATAGGTTTTTCTGAAGGAACGAAACGGCGCTCAGATAACGGAAAAGTACCGAAAAAATCATTAAACCAGAATTCAATCACATCAAGCACAAAATCGTTTCAACTTACTCACCGCTTTCAGAAGTCTTCCACTGAGTTATTCTAGTGAAAACTAGACATTGGAAACGTTTACAACTCAGTTGAAGGCTTGTAAAAGCAGTGAGTGTGTTGAAATTTGATTTTGTGGTTGGTGTGATTGAATTTTGGGTCTAGTGTTTTCTTCTAAAGGGGTTATGGAGGTATCTGGGTAATTTAATCGTGAATAAACTGATCATTCCTGATCCTAAATAAGGCCAAACTACCAAAACGTAGGTTGTCAGAGTAGATACTATTGTAAAACTTTATGTCTGCCTCAAGAGAGAATAAGGAATTGCTCTTAAGAGCGTAAGACATCGACAATCGAGTGAGTAGTAGAAACCATTTAAAAGCCTAGGTTTTTGGTGTAGCCCCATGTGGCCGATTTTTGAAAGCACATTTTTATATCGCTGTCAAATTCACACAAAACTATGTCTTAAGAGCACATGTTTCACGCCAGTCAGAGCTCTTTCTTTGGGCTATTACTAATCACTTGATAGGGTAATCGAGTTTGATTCCAACGCTATGTTTATATTCCCGAAAGACCATTACTTTACAGCGCAGCAAGTAGAGTAAGTTGAGATCCTATATGCGACCAATGCCCTCTTTGGCCAACCCACGTGTGGCTGGCTGGCAGCTACGTTCGAGGACGAGATGTTCATAGATTTTTCGGGCATATGAACGCTTAGAGAAGTATCACGTCAGCAGTTCACGTGGTCGCCTCGCGCACACGCACGTGAATTGACCAAACAGGGCATTGACCGCACATGGAAGTCCAACTCATTTTACCTGCTGCATTCCAGAGAAACGGTGTTTTCAGGATACAAGCACAGCGTTGGAATCAAATTCGATTGCGCTATCGATTCATTACTAATAATCCAAAGAAAGAGCTGTGTCCAGCGAGAAATATGCTCGTCTGAGACATAGCTGTGTGGAGATCACAGCGATTTAAGAAGGTGTTTGAAAAGCCGGATACGTAGGGCTGTAGCCTCAAGTCTCAGCTTTGGAATGGCTGCTAGCACTTCTGTCAAAAGTTTTGTGGAGCAAATGAGTTCAGCTTTCCATATGTCTCCTTATAATCAGAAAAACCTATCATAGACTTTATCAAGTGTATCAGTGCTTAGGCGTGTGCGGCGCAGTGGTCAAAGGTGTGCTATGCCACCTGAAAGCACTTTGAATCAAACGCTTCATCGCTCTCTATGAAACGAACCTCTAAATTTCGCACACATTGCTAAGGTGATGTACAACTGCAAAATCGATAAAGTAACTAACTTGTACTGACTAATTACCAAAAAAGCGCTTGGATTCCTGATCTACCTCTTTCAGTGAAGGGCGATTATTGAGACTGTATCGTTTGTTGGAATTTCTCTAATCTTGAAATTCCTTCCTTATTACAGCTGTAATGCATGCAGTTATCTCAATATAGTTGAAAAGCTGTTTTATGCTTTATGCGATTGCAATTAAGGTTTGGACGATTAGAACCTGATGAAGTAATAGAGATGTTTGTCTGATGGTACTGTGAGCAATCTGATCTTTCCATGCTCTGATGAAGGCAAAACCACGGAAACGTCAGTTGTCAGAATAAAGCGTATGACTAGGTTGAGAAAAAAGTCCCTTGACACTCATAAAAAATTCAGATTTAATGCTTGATTCACACTGTATCGCTTATTGCAAATTTATGGGAATATCAGGAATATTTCCATAAAAATGCATCTGGACCGAGTTTACGATGCACTGGAAGAAAAGTACTCAAACTGTTACAGCAAGACAGTGACAAACAGCACACCGCAAAGAAGAATGAAGAGAAGTTTGATATATTGGAGAAAGTCGAGGTCTTGCAGCACTCAGCCTACACTCCAGATACTGCGCCCTGCGATCATGGTCCAGTTTCGGCCAATGAAACATTTCTTGCGTGGACGCCGATTCAAAACATTTGATCAACTTGAAAAGGCATTTCGTGAGTTTTTTGGCTTGAAGCCCACGGTATGGTATTTCGAGCAGATCCGGAAGCTTGCAAATCGTTGGCAGAAAATCGTGGATAATGATGATCTTTATTTGAAGAATTATCTTTGATTTTACATTGAATACATGTGAAAACTTTGGATTTACAGCGAGTGCTGATGATCTTTTTACTCAACTTTATATAACAACTTCGGGATTGACTAAAAAAGAAAAAGCTTATAAATTTTTGAAGAATGCCGAGTTCGATAGCTAGTCAATTCTAGGAATTACTTTAGCCGTACCGATCACAATACAGGCAACAGAATACTATGAAATTGCACGATTTCAATAATCGCTACTGTATGAACAAAGTAATCATTACCTGCTAAGATATATTCTTTTTGATAAGATTGAAACATGTTGCCTCATCAGACGGAGCAAAAATGAGAGTAGGGAGCGCAGCGTAGGTACCAATATTCTAAACAGATTGCCAATGATCATAGTCCTATTTGGGCTTTTCTATGAGAACGAAAATCGTTAATTACCTCAAAGTAATTGCCTTGCTTGACTGCATACAGAATATAGCGTCTGCTATGATCTTCATACGCATTGAGGGAGCCGATCACCTTTACACGAGACACTAAATAGAATGGAAGTCATTTAAGCAAATTCTCGATAAAAAGTTATTTATAGGCTTTCAGTGCTGCGCATAATGTTTCCTTTTGAGCTCTCACAAAAACATCAGATTAATAGCAAACAAACCGTTAAGCCTTTTCTTCCTTAGGAAACACGTCATGTTTTTTTCTTTATCGCTGGTATGTGGTTATGAATTGAATTTCTAATCGTAGTATAATATTATTTCACTTTAAAGTAGTTAGCCACTATGTAGCCATTATTACTCAGAGGCCAATCAAAATTTGAATAGGTGCCGGATGGCCTGTCCCAATCTGCAGCGAAGATAGCGCCGTTTGCGGATACATGAGTACATTTGTGTGCTATTGCTGTTGAAATGAAGGCATGAAGACACGACTCACATCATACCTCACTGAAGTGATTCTGTTATTGCCGAACAAAACACGACTGTAGAACAAGTATTGTAAAATTGTACATTATTTTTTAGCCTCGTCTCTTTTATACACTGTTTTGATTATCTGGTAATTCAAAAATTAATACGGTCAGGCAACACACACTAAATAACCATGGCATGAAATTAATGAAAGTGCAATATGAAATCCGATAATATCAGCATATTCCGTATACTTCCGTCATTCAATGTTGTTATGGAATGATGAACGATGCCGTTTTCCGTTGACGACTTGATATACTCGTATCATGAAGGGTATGAAAAGCTGAAGGAGCCAAGCACAGGTCAAATAGCGTTCCTGCTAGCCCCGTGTTAGCTTACCTCTCCAGCGACACTGACTATGAACATAGTTTCTACAACTACGGAAACGTAAGAAATAAATCATTTTTCGCATCTGATAAATCAAACGACGTATACGAAAGCAAAGCCTGTTAAGCGAGATAAACGCCAGCAAACCATCGCTAAATGGGATATTGAAAACGTTAGAGGAGTTTATTTTACATAGGTCCCTGGGATGTGATGAATCTCAAGAAACAGCACTGATTTTTCTACAGAAATTGAGGGGCGTTCTTTATCAATTTTAAGAAAGCATTATAATGAAATTTAAACTGTTAGTCTGAAAACCAAAGAGTGTCACTAAATGTTCACGTCAGGTATTACGAATCCATATAATGAACCTTTGTGAAGGTAACTTTGGGCAGTAGGAATCGCTAATGTCTAATATTTTTTAAGCTTACATCATTTGCCACATAAACCACTCTCTTTGGCATCATTCTCACACCGATTGGCGGCCAAGAAGTGCTACTTTGTAGTTGTAGTTTACGGAAGAAAACTACTGTAGTAAGTTATGCGTTCTGAAATTTCGACGTCGTACATTGACCCTTCGCGGAAGGCGTGCATGCATGAAGAAACATAATCTTCCAGAGACCTTTCTAAATAGAGAAATAAAGTTTAAGTGACTAAGGTTTGATTTTGCAGACTTCAGAAGTGTGCTTATTTTTAAAAAGCCTTTTCTAGTGCTTTGTGGCAGCGGAAGTAAAAATATGTTTCACAACCTACTTGCTAAGTTTGCGCAGTAGGGGCCTGTGGATGGCTTTTCGCTAAATTTCGGCAGTCATTCGATAGCTCATATCTCGAGAAATCTAGAAAGATTTTATTTTTGAGGTTTCTACAGAGCTGCGAAAGACAAAAAGAAGATTTCGTTTCAAACCCGGAGTTTTCTGCGCACAAGAGTGCTCAATGCACGAAAAGCATATGCGTGTAGAGGAGATCATAGAGTACCAGACTAACACAGAATCCTTCGAGTTTGTTCCAAAACGGAAAAAATTCAAGAAGAATAACGAAAATCGCATGCCGCTTGCACTTCGCGCTGAGCGATCTATCAACTGTCGTCTCGAAGATGCTAAACTTTGACTAGTACGTTACGCATTTGATTACGTTAACCGTCGTTAGAAGTGGTTGATCACATTGCATAGGTGCTGGGAAAGACGTAAGATTGTGCTTGGCCCAGGAGGTGATACGATACTTCTATTTTACTCCTATGTTGTGGTTATAGTAGGGGCTCACGGATCGCATCGATTACTCATAAGTATACTTCTAGAAAGCTTATCTTTGCAAGCGTAGATCTTCCGTCTCCTATTGCCATATATTCCTTCCTTTGAAATTATTGGGAACTCATAAGGTTTAATACTTCGAAATTTCAGCATTTTAACGCTATTTTTTCTCAGTGTTAGGATTTTACATATATACCCAAGAGAATTAAGTTGTGAGCAAAACATGGCCTCAGACGAGAATTGAACCCGGGTTTCATCCATACCGGAGACACGTGCTGCTACCACTACACCTCCGAGGCACATTTGCGCCACCACTCATTCTTCAACATCTTTTTTCATTACATAATAATTTTTTTCAATAATAAACGATTTTTTGATAATATAATAATATAATAATTTTTCAAAATACGTAAAAATACTAGAATTTTGGAGTATTACATTTGACAAAGGCCGCCAGTTCAACTGGGTTCATAAAGCGAAATCACAACCGACCAAACCTGTTAAAGGTAGTGGCTGACAGCTAACATAGAGATGATGAAAAATGAGTGGTGGGTCAAGTGTGCGTCGGTGATGTAGTGGTAGTAGCACGTGTTCGTAGTATGAATGAAACGCAAATTCGACTCTCGCCTGAGGGCGTGTTTTCGCGCACCACTCAATTTTTTAGGTATATATGTAACTCAAAATGTTTCTATTCGAATTATGTAAATTCAGTACGTCAAAATTTTAATAACGTAAAGCAAACAACCCAATACATGCGTATTGAATTCACTACAAAAAATGTGCTTTTCAATGAATATTTGGAAGTTTCAGTAAATGATAATATTGTACCTTTATTACACGTGTATCGCGCTGTAACAGGACCCTTGCCAAACCACATGACATGTTGGTTTAAATAATATTGAAGAGATCTATTGACAATATTGTGTTCACTGTATTTTCACCAAATACCATTCCATAATAAGTTTGCAGGTGTCGTTTGTTATCTTGATATTGATGTGCACTTGTCATAGTGTGACATTATAGTGTGTAGTTGTGCTTCGTCATTATCATAGTCGTAATCTACCGTTTACTGCTTTTAGAATATTCAAAATAGCCTATTCGTCTAGTAGTGGTTGATCAACAGCGGTAGTAGAAGCTTAAGAATTATTATCATTCAAATACTATTATTTGAATTACTTATGTTTAGCCATTGATAAACAGTAGATAACCTTCCGCGTAATATACTGTTGACAACTGTTATGTGCAAACGACTATATAGAAAACACGGAAATTACTTGAAAGAGAGAATTTGCACATTTGCGGAGAATTTTAAATTCGTTCATATATTAACGTGATCGTTGGATATCCGTGGAGCAGATAATCAAAATAAGTTAACCTAGCAAAAAATCTTCCGTAATAATGTCGTACTACATGATCACCAGTCGCAATTACCTAGGCGATCTCCACTCACTTCGCAATGTCGGAAAACTGCTGACATAATAGCTTTGTTAGCAAAAAATCAGTGGGAAGGTGACCACTAGTAGCTTTCTATTTTTTTGACTATTGATTTTACTCTTAACATAGCCTCGATATGATGATGACTTCCCGATGAACGAACTGTGTAGAAGGTGAACACATTCCGTTCGAGAGGTATTGGAGATCACGGAACAATGTTGATTAGCTGCTAGCTTCAGAAGATTCTACTCTTTTGATGAAAGACTGCTGAAAATTATACTTGAAAAATTACTATTCGCTTGAGTTCAGTTCAAATGTGCTGAGGATTGATTGACGTGGAAAAAATTCGGCACTTAGGCTTCAAGTAATACACGATTTGTGCTTTTTATCATCGATATTTCTATACGATTTTCCTTATAGGATCATATTAACTCTTTCATATTTTCACTCAGCATCTTTACATAACTAGAGTGAAGGTCTCATATGTTTTTTCATTGTTACGGGGCATTTGTTGTGGTGAAGTGCTGTGTTCATCTTGTTCATATTCTATACAACGTAGTAAAATAGGTTAGTATGAGTGGCCGACGTTTCGGTAGTTTTGCCTTTGTCAGAGCCTATATAGCCAAATTGACATGCAATCCATATAGATGAACACTTTTTACAGCCAAATAAAATAAACCGTACGAAATCGCATAAGCTGAAACGTTTGGTAATCAATCTTCACTAAATACTTGCCGTATGTTGGTTACTAGTCCAGTAGTCATTGTGTAGAGCAGCGACACTTATTACATGGGCGAGGAATGTGCTTGTCTTGGAACCACAAAAAAATTCATCTTTTCGATTTTTGCCGGATTTTCCGTATAAATCCAAAAAGCTTCAAGGATTTCAAGCTCAAGCTTTTCGTTTCCGTGCAAGGATGCATATTTTTACTTTAAAGTTTACATCCCTGAGCATCTGTGCCTTATGTACACCTTGTGGTGTTTTTAAATCCATTTTATCTCTGTTATCTTGGTGTTCTTTGATACGGACATAGAGGAGCATTCCCGTTTCGCCGATATATTCGTCACCGCACGTTTTACAAGAGATAAGGTAGACTGTACCCATGCTCATGTATGTAATCACCGTCTCTACCGTTGGGGCATATTATGCATCTTTTCGTTTTACACAGACGGTCGCAAACGCGGTTGCGAACTAAATTGGCTTCTTAGATTGCTCGATAATATTTCAATAATCATTACCGATTTATTCAAGTCTGCCCTCTTCAAAAAGCAAAATATACCTTTGGGATACTGAAAAATAACTTTCTTAAACGTGCAAGTGATTCTATCCGACAATGGTTACATTACGAAGTGGTACCGAAAGCCAAGTAGCAAAAATATCGTGGTTGATTACCTCTTCTCTCACCCTTCCCCCCCCCTCCCGCTTACCCCCTCACATACAGATAAGGCGCTTGTTAAATACATGTTCAGCACAGCGGTTGGTGTGTGTACTGGAAAGAAGCATCGGGTAGAATGCTTGAGCTGGCTCAGGATACAGCCATTTCCAATAGCTGCGAAACTGTAATTCCTTGGTATAAGTTTAGAAAGTAAATCGCACCCCTAGACGATAATTCCGATAAAAGAAATGTCCCGCTAATTTTCCCTTTTCGAACGAGAGAAGTATAGATTTAAAACGTTGTTCAAAAAGAGCAGACTTGGAAGAATGGTAGCGATTATTAAAATATCATCTTGTAATCTAAGGAGCCAACTAGTTCGCAACCGGTGATGAGACCGTTTGTGTGAAACGAAAGATACATAATATGACCCAACGGTAGAGACAATGCTTGCATGAGCAGCGGTACAGTCTACCTAATCTATGTGAAACGCGCGGCGGCGAATTTATCGGCAAAACGGAAATGCTCCTTTATGTTCGTATCAAAGAACACCTAGACAAGAGACATAAATAATTTGAAGGAACCACGAAAGGTACGCATAGAGCATAGATTCACAAGGAGAAGAACCTTGAAGTGGAAATATGCGTCCTTGCACAGGAACGAAAAACTCGCGCAAAATCCTCGATTTTGAATTCAGACCAAAAACCCAGCAACGAATGGACCGATAAATACATTGTGATCGCTTGTGATTTCGCAACATATGTCGGACCGATTTTTGTGGAGGCGAGACAAACGAATTCCTCGACCGTTTAACACTCGGCTGCTGCTTTACATATTGACTACTGGACTAGTACATAGTAAAATACGATGAGTATCAAATAAAGCTGTTTACTATACGTTTCAACTTCAACAATTTCGTATAGCTCTCATCTTATTTGGTTGTGGAAGTGTTCATCTATATGGATTGCACGTCAATTTTTCTAAATTAGGCTCTGACGAAGGCGAAACTGCCGTGAAGTTGCCCACTCATACTAACTTTATTGTACTACTTTGTGTAGAATAAACGCGCATTGACAATCTCGTGTTTGCCGAACAAAGAAAGTCACGGAATAGTACAGTCAGTGCCTAGGTTGGTCGATAGTCTGTCTTGGGAATTGCTTTAAGATGATATATACAATCTTTAGGCATCGAATCATTGAATGTCGAAGGAACGTCAAGTTGCAGAAGCTCTCTCAAAGGGTCACGTCGATAATACCGTCGTCGCACGAGTAACTCTTGTATCCATCACCACAGTTTTGATTGGTAGTCGACTGCAAACTGTTAAGTTCGTTAGGAATTTCCACTCCATTTTGATATTTTGACTCGATAAATCCATAGATCCGCATATGCAAACGATTATGTTAAAAAATTGAATTCACACGGATGCATTTATAGAAAAATTTGGTAACTTTCATTTTATCAACGTGATCATTGGATATCTGTGAAGTAAATCAGAGTAATGTTAATTCAAATGAATGTCATCTGATACTATCTGGAAAGTCCCTAGTCCTACCGTGCCATGTGATCACCAGTCGCAGTAACCTAGACGAGCTCCACTCATTCGCATTATCGGAGCAGGTCAATATTGTTAATTTAATAGCTTTCTTATAGAATTTCCAGTGAAAAAGTGACCAATAGTAGCTTTGTTATGCTCACCTTATTGAGTTTACTCTTAATCGAGCCTCCACATGTAAATGACTTCGCGATAAATTCTGCAGCCGGTGAAAAGACCTCTGTGTAAGAAGGAACCAAAGTTGAGAAAAAGTGGTTATGATGTAGCTGTCAGCTTTTAAAGATTTAGAAACATTCAAATTCCCAGAAGGAATCTAATTATAGTTTATTAAACAATTTTCCTTTTCAAATTTTTCCGTCTTCCATTATCATATCAGTTCCCTTTAGTAAATTAGATTAAGAGGGTTATATTCGAATGAGTTGAGCTCCAATCACCTGTATCACCTGTCGCCCCGTTGATCGTCGTATGATTCGAGGGGGGTACCAGCAACACTTCCATTTTACTCTATCGC